TCTTTGAAGAAATAATCAAACTAATCTAATCAGATTAAATTAAAAAAGAAAACGAAGTTCCTATATACATGTATATAAAAGTTATTATAAAACGAAATGTTGTGTGCGGAATAGAGGAATAGCGGAACAGAGGAATAGCGGAATAGAGGAATAGAGGAATAGAGGAATGGAGGAATAGAGGAATAGCGGAATAGCGACCGACCGACCGGAATACATTTTGACATGCTCCCTAACTCTATGAAGAAATTAATTTGAAAAGATGCGCTACAGATCGTTGCAAAGCCTGTTTCATTACGCATGTTTTCATTAATAAGATAGTAACGTTTATTTTATTAAATAAATATGAATCTAAAAGCAGCTGCTGTACTATCTTATCAATTCTAATATAGATCAGAGAACATCAGAGGCGGGAAGGGCGGTGTGGGAGTGAGTTGTCGACGAAACAAGAATACTTCCTAAAATTTCTACCTCTGAACAGATATAATGTATGTTTTCATATATAACATCTTATGCGTAAGGAAATGAAAGACATATTTTTCTTGTTTTCTGATTGATTTCGCTAATTTTGCTAACATGGGACCCATCTCAAATTGAATGCTAGTTGATGAATGTTAATTACACATATTTCATATATAAGATTGGCTCATTGTTAATTGAAATCACTTAAAATTAAAGAAATAAAGTTGATCTCAGTTTGGAAATGGCATATTCTATCAATTTTTAAAAGTGATATCAGTTTGGAAACCATTTTTCTATTAAGAAAAAATGATTCCAATTTGCAAAATGAGCTTCTAGTTCCTATTTTAATAACATATGGATTTGTAAACTGTATATAATTCAAGGGGGAAAGCCCTGAATCCTGGAATCCTGAATTCCCCTGAATTCCAAGGATTCCCTATGATTCTTTAGGATTCCAAGGATTCTCTAAGATTCTCTAGGATTCCTTAGGATTCTGAAGGATTCCATAGGATTCTCTTCGCTTCCTTAGAACTCCTCTAGATTGGGATTCCTTAGGATTCTCTAGGATTCCTTTGGATTCTTTTGGATTCCATTGGATTCCCTTGGATTCCTTTGGATTCTTTTGGATTCCATTGGATTGAGCGAGATTCTATGAGATTCCATTGGATTGAGCGAGATTCTATGAGATTCCATTGGATTCCGTGCGATTCCGTGCTATTCCAGGATTCCAGGATTCCGTGCTTTCCCCCTTGATATAATTACTAGATAGAGTGAAGTGAAGGCTTTATAGGTTGTAGGCTTCGAAGCAGATTTTTGGAATCATTTTGATTTGATTGGTGTAAGACCACGTACGAATAATCATGTATCAGGCTCAGTTAAATTCTCAAGGTGAAATACATCCTAATCTATGGGCGTGGATAAATTATATTAAGGGGTCAGAAGAATCTGTAATGGTACGACATGAACAAGAACAATGTCAACAAAGAAGTACACGTCTCAGAAAGGCAAGATCAGTACATAATGATGCTGTATTGATTGCTGCCAAACAAAATTATATGTATGATCATATAGATCTAGAAGATTTACAGAAATTGTTAAGATCATTAAGTCATCGTTATATCAAAGTGTTTGAGAATTCAAAAAGACGACGATGAATAGGAACTAAAACAATGAGGATGACAAAAGTTAATTTTTTTGTATTTTCTTTTTGATAAAAATAGTTTAGAAATCCATATTTTAATAAAGTGAAACCTACAAGCAATAAAACTTTCACTTCACTCTATCTAGTATATATAATTTATATTATATACAGTTTATGAGTCCATATGTTATTAAAATAGGAACTAAAAGCTCATTTTGCAAATTGGAATCATTTTTTTCTTAATATGAAAATCGTTTCCAAACTGATATCACTTTTGAAAATTGATAGAATATGCCATTTCCAAACTGAGATCAACTTTATTTCTTTACATATAAAAAGTGATCTCAATTAAGAAGCCTCAATAAGATTTTATTAAGAACATCGAACTTGCAGAGAAAAATGGATAAATATGATCGAACAGGCTTTTTGGATCAATGCTCAGCAATGATTAAAAATTCCAGCATATGGTAGTCTACAATCTATTTTTAAGGTACAGAAATATTAAAAAATTAAATAACGAACGGTTCTTGATCAGTTCGAATCGTTATCTTCTCAAAAATGCGTAGGATCATATTCTTGTAGAAACCGTCCAATGTCCTTTGTAAAAGACGAGTATGCGACAAGTCAAAAGAATATGTTAAATCATAAAAGGCAGCATGAAAAGGCATATATATAAAGATAAAACTATGTCTTAGTATGTTTCGATTTGGCGGCTTGTGGTTAGTTTTCAGTTTCTTTAATACAACAGACGAGAAAACGTGATTTATCGCTTCGCTTGACATTACTTATAGTAACTCTACAGTTTCTCTTGTTCTTGATTATACATAATCAAATATTTTTATATTTGGTTTATCTTGTGAAATTTTAGTTTGTGAATGCGCATCTCTTTGGTTTTATTTTTATAGTAAAAGCTCCATCTCTTCGATTGTTTTTTGTGACAAAATGATTATTTATTGATTTACAGTAGGTTATTATATCACAGATACAAAGAAAAACGAACGACAAGGCCCTAGCGTTGATATAATCGACTAGAAATATCCGAAGCATTCTGTGTCCTTTCCTGCTGCCCACCAATACACTGAAAGTTAGGCTAATCATTTTGTACTATATTTCTCTTTTTCTTGCATTATAAAATCAAACTGTGTACAACTTAACTGTTTAATATCTCTATACATGCGTAGCGGGAAAGCTTTTGTATTTTGAGCAGCTTATTTGTCATATCAGTACAATAATCTGTAAAGTAGGAAAAGAGCCATCGAAATGCATCAAGCTAGACGGACATCCATCACTTGATTCCACCCATTACCAGTGACTACTACAAGGTCACATCCTGTAGTGGAAAAGATGTAGTGTGGCGTAGTGGTATTGTTTACCCCTTGTAAACAACATAATTTTCCCAACACTCTGAGTCGCGTCATTTTCAAAGTTTTGGAATAGGTCATAATTTTAGCATTTCTGTTTTCACTTTTAATTGAGAAGTTACTTATCATTTACTATACTGAAACTGCAATCCATTCAAAAGTAGAAGCAATGCCGGAAAATATTGTTCAAATTAGTGACATGGGCAACAAGAACAACGATGGAATTGCTAATTTAGCTTATGACGGCGATACCAATGATATTCGTGTATCAATAATAAATGACGGAATTAATACTGTTACTTTGACAGGCGATTCGAAAATGCATTTAAATTGGCGTTCAAAATTAAAGAATTTATATAAAAATTATAGATGGAGAATGAGTCATTATTTTTACATTCATCTGGCGATATTTATTTGTAACACGTTTACATGTGGTCTTATTGTGTGGCTTATTGAAAATCGTACCGTATCTTATATGGATGCTTGGTTTCTCAGTAGTACTTGTGTTTTTACATGTGGTTTGACAACATATGATTTTGCAATATTAAGAAAAGAATCACAGATTGTATTACTAATGTTTACCTGGATATCGGGTACCCAATGTCTTATTCTTAGAAATACATAGTCATCTAATTAATATCTATATTCTTACTTTAGGGATCACCGTCTCGACCATACCAGCAATTATCATTAAAATTTATATAGCTAAACGTGAAATACGTTCACGAACAAATACCGCGACCGCGGCACAGAAACAACAACGAGAACCAGAGAGGGAAGATGATTTACCTGTTAAAAAATTTCTCAGTAAACATTTGAATAGTGCATTAGAAGCAAAAATAAAATCATTGCCAAATGCGGACGAGATACGAATAACAGCATATATTATATTGATTGTTCTTATTCTTTCAATATGTTTTACTATTTATTTAATAACATTTATTTCTATTGGATTATACTTCAAATACAAATGTAGTCCAGAAAAATTACTCCAAAAAAATGTAACGCTAAATCCATTTTATGCATCATTCGTTCTAACATTAACCGGTTTTAACCAAAATGGTCTATCACCATGGTGAGTAAATTCAGTTTAAGTACTTTTACAAGAATCTGTGCTACTTATTAAAAATTAATATTAAGAGATAGCTTTTTTCTGCACATATTCTATTGCCTATTTCATAAAAACTCTAAATATAATTTGGTTACCTAAAAAAAATGACAAAAAGCTTTTTCATCGTAGACCTAGTACTTAAAGTCTGAAGCTCCATTATTATTAGTTTTGATAATTTTTTGGCTAAAATTTTTCTTGTGCTGTGCAATTTTCTTTCTCATATAGATCAATATAAAAAATATAAATTTGCAGTTCTTTTCAGTTTAATATAGAAGACAGTAGTTTTCTTTTACTTCTAACACGTTTTCGACTGAATTGAGCTCGAGTTTTCAGATTTTGATCTTTTTCAAGCATTTTTTCTTCGAATAGATATTAGATTCGTGATCCCCATCAAAAATTGAATCAGCTGAGGAATTGTGCAGTATATTTCATTCACAAATGTTTTTCTTGAGGCATAGTGTTTGGCCAGGAATTTGTTTTTTGAACGCATTTATTTTCTTTCTACTAACCGACTTCTATATTATTACACTATATTATTTCTTTCGACCTCTGCTGTTGCACTGATCACACACAGTAAAGAAAAAAGCGTCTAAAAGTTGACGCTTTTTGGTCATCGGCTTTTTGTTCCCTTTTAGTATGCTTTTTGTCATCGCTTTTTAGCGGATGTTTTTTCGAAAATGCTATTAAGAGACGGTTTTGTGTAGACGCTTTTTTAAGGATGGTTATTAGTAAGCGTTTTCTTAAGTATGATTTTTTAGAGCCGCTTTCTCGAAGACGCTTGTATCATCCCACAGACTGGCAGTGAAGATAAACACTGTTTATTGATAATAATGGCCTATATTGTTACTTTTTTTCGGATAAATGTTCATTAGGTTGACATTCCTTCGGTTTTTGATATAAATCATTATCTTTCGAAAGAACAATAAGAACAAATACAAAAATACTTATTGTGAAGCTACTTGCAACTATTCTGCTGATGAGGAACTGTTTAAAGTTTAAGCCTATTTATTTGATTTTAAACTGAAAAGTATAAAGATAAAAAAATGATTAGTATAAAAAAATGTTTTACATCCACTCATTACTCCAGAATCGAAAGGAAAGAATTGTAAACCTAGGTTTAGATATGAAACAGCTTCTCATCTTTAAATCCAGACTATTTTGCTTCGTCAGGTTAGTTTCTATTAGTTATTATAAAATTACGGTTTTGACTTGATAGTTCCATGTTAATTGCAACTGATTTTAGAATTTTATTCTACAAAACTCGATATTTCGATCACTCACGGTCATTGTCTACAGTGAAAATGTACACAAAAAATTTTGATTTTTATATTTTATAATTCTCACACGTTCAAGAACAGGTAAACTTCCCCTTACGATGAATAAGTTAAATGATGATGAGTTTCTCGCTACCCAAACATTGAGAAAAAATAATCTAAAACAAACGATATTGGCAAAGTCGGCCATTGGTAGACATTATCAGGCGAGTGGACATTTGATTACACCAAATGACTTTTAGATTTTCGCTAGTGAACAACACAAATACAAATTGTTAATAAAAGAATCACTCTTGATGCGATCACAAGAACCAATACTAAATACTTACAGATTGTTCGGTACCGTTTTCCTCTTATATGTGTACATTTTCACTTTTGACAATGACCGTGAATAGTCGAAATATCAAGTTTTGTAGAATAAAATTCTAAAATCAGCTGCAATTAACATGAAATTATTTCAAAATGCATACTGATATTAAATTTGTATTGGCCTGACAGAATTAAACATTTGAAATTGCAGTATAATTACAATCACAAGACAAACGGAACAACATTTTTCTGCAACTTGTCCCGACCTTGCGGAATTTTTTTCTTGCCTCGAGTCCAAGTCCGTAAATTTCTTTTTTGTCTGGACCCCGTCTGCCCCACGGGACGGGACAGAGGGGACGGAGTTCAGGGCTGCACACACAGGAGTCTAGTTGCCGTTCACTTCATGGTTTAGGAAGCTCGATGAGGGCTTACAATTTATTAAGAAAATAATAAATTGCGCCGTTTCTAGAATAAATGGCTTACCCACACTTCTTCCAAATAAATACAGTTGCCTATCCGGGAAGGTTCTCTAGCATAAATGGCTGGAAAAAAGCCATTTATGCAAGTCCAAGAGCCATTTATTCTAGGAAGTAATAAATGGCTTAGCCATTTATGCTAGGAAAAAAGCCATTTATTCTAGAAAACAGCCATTTATGCTATAAATTCCCTCCTACGAGACATTTTTTCTTGGCACGATAGGGAGCCATTTATTCCTAAAAAAGTGTGGGTAAGCCATTTATTCTAGAAATGGCACAATTTATTTATCTAGTAATAAATTGTAACTGCTGAACTCGATTAAAACCTGCATCTTCTTCTAGATTCTTTTTTGTAAACACTTTTAACTCACGAAACTTTCATTTTTCAAAGGACCGGTGGAATAGCGAGATTTGTTGATGATGTCGTGGTGAATTTATTTGTTATGTTTGTTGTCATTAGTGGTAAGTCAAACAAAAGAAAACAGAAATACCAGAACGGTCAAAAAATTGAACAGCATTTTGCCTGTAGATATTCCAAAAATCGGAGTCGAAGAGTCTCCTAGAAGATTTTCAAAAAGAAATGTTTTCATATCTGATTTAAAATACGAAATGGCTATTGGCATTCCCGAGAGTGTCAAGTAGAAGCTATTGGCACTCCCAGGAAGTGTGAGCAAGAAGCTGTTGGCACTCCTATGCAAAAAACTTTGTTGGAAGTGTCAACAAGGACGCCATCTGACATATAAGCGGACCAACCTTTGAGTATTCCACGAAATTTTGACTCCCAAGATTCTGATTTCTGATTCGTATATTCGCATTTTGACGGGTATCTCGCTCGTCGAGGAGTGAGAAGGACAGGTTGATAGCGAAAGTGAGTGAAAAAGCTAAGAATTTCAACAGGAAAATAGGTATAACAAAAACTTACAATAAGAGAAAAATTTCCACTATTCAGTATTATGTTGGACACTCAATCCAACCATTGTTGCACCAAGCGGAGAAGTTTAACATTGCAGTAGACTGTATAAGAGGTCTCCGCAGAGATGACGTCCTAGTGTACACTTTCGGTAGTGCCAATGGCTTCTAAAGGGCTTGTCATATTAGAATATCCGGGTCTGCTAATCTGTTCTGAGTGTTAAAAATTGTAGAGGGGTCTTATGTTGCGTCCCAAAATACATTTCATCCAAAATATCGTTTTGTTAGCAGTGTAATCGACGTTCTTTTCTAAAAATATCTTAAAAAACAGGGAGTCTTCTATTTCACATTTTACATGACGATGCCGATGAGGGTCTTCTATTTAGGAAAGATCATCTAATATGACAATCCCTTTAGATGATACTCGCAGGAGTGCCGATGGAATCATCTTTTAAAATAACAGCACTGCAATTTGTGACATAATAATATAATATGAGAGATCGTGTATGCGTTTCCAGGAAATATAATAAATAGATAAGATGAAATTTACAGTAAAACTATTTTCCCCTTATTTACAGCAAAGTGTTTATCTGTTTGGCTTCCAAACAAAATTTTTTTGTTATAGGTACAAGCCTATTTCCCGCGATCATACGTGGGGTGGTTGAAATATTGAAATACGCTTCACCGTAAGTTTTACTTTCACTCATCAAAAAACATTTCTCAGTTTCGTGTTTTAACTGTTCAGTCTTATGAGGAAACATTTCCAAGGGATTCCTGCCAATTCCGTGTAAACTTTGCGAATAGATAGCGATATCGTTGTCAGAAAAAGCTTAAGCTGATTTGCGTTTCTATGCCTGTTCTATTGACTTATGAATTCTTTTGCGCTGGGTATCAACGGGAACAGGGTTTCCCTGTATTTTCCCTATCAGATCGTTTTAAGAACTGAACGTTTTCTTTTTCACAATCATACCCAGTGACAAACCACAGCAAACAAATTTTCCACCTCAAATATTGACTGAGTAGTGATAATGGAAAATTTGTAAAATCGAACGTAATCCAGATATATAACCGAAACTTCAGCACAATGACTTTGCCGATGCTATCTGCCTTTGCACTGGAATTTGTTGTCCCAGATGCTCCTAGAAATCACGTCAGGAACAATTTTTTTATCCAAGTTTTGAATATTTGAGGTTTCGAGTTTTCGTTGTAATTTATCACTGGTTATGCGAACCCTGTTTCCATTGGAACCTAATAGAAAAGCGGAAAAGAATTCATTAGTCAGTAGAACAGGCATAGAAATGCAAACCCGCTCGGGCTTTTTCTTACAACTATATCCCTACCTACCGGCAAAATTTCAATAGCCCGGATGTTACGGTTTTCTGTTTTTTACCAGCAATAAAAAATCCTAGCTCTGAAATTTTTAGTATTGCTCAAGTTTTTTTATGAAAAACACAAACCTTGAATAAAAATTTCAAAATCCGAGACATGATTCATCCATCCCTGTTTCATAAACAAAATTCTATTGACATAGACACCTTTTTGTGTTCATCCGCAATTTCAAAGTAGAAGTTCAAAAACAAGTTGATTTTCTAACCATACGTCATTTATTTCGACAATATTTCTTGGCGAGAACAATGTTGTCAATTTTACCGTATGCTAACAGTAATCTTACTAGGGAAGCCATCCAAGTGATTCATCCGAATTTGTCTCACATACTTTCTCATCTGTGATTTTTTGATTCTGATGACGAATCTGATGTTCATTTCGGCCTATATGACTTCTTACTACAGATAGAACCCGGATCTAGGAAGACTCACTCTGAATCTTAGAATGAAACGATCCTCATATGGCCAGTTTGCAGAACAGAACGATTCCGACATGTAAAAGGGTTTTAGGCATACCGAACAAGTCCTGTCAGGAATATAAAACTTTTACTTTCATTGTTCGTGAAGATTATGGACATGGAAATTTGTCTTGCATTAAAAATTTTACATTCCTGACAGAACTTGTTCGGTATGCCTAAAAACCTTTTTACATATCTGAATCGATCTGCTCTACAAACTGGCCATATTAGGACCGTTTCATTCTAAGATTCAGAATGGGTCTTTCTAGATCCGGCTACTGTCTATAGTGAGAAGCCATATTGGGCGAAATGAATATCAGATTCGTCATCAGAATCAAAAATTGCAGATGAAAAAGTATGTCTGAGGCAAATCGAGATATATCAATTTCATCGTCATTCCCTCTTGAACATTTATAAATATACGATTCGTCTGTTTAGATGGCGACATAAAATTATTTTTGATTACATTTTATTGAACAATCATAGATTATCGACCGTTATCTTTCCTTCATTGCAAACACGACTATATGTGACAATAACAATATTATTACAAATAAGTGAGTGACAAAAAATAGAAACAACAAAACTTATCTTCGTTACTTTTTTGACTATGATTCATATTTTCGAAGACAGACTTAGCCATTTCCTTGAGTTCTTCCTTGTACCAACCGGTCCATGTTTTAACATCGTTATTCCTAAGAAATAGGTCGTTTAAATCAAAGCGTGGTACGTTGCTGCTCCTACGACGAAAGGAGCAGGAACCAGTTACAATGGCAAAACGGTTTGTAAAAGAAAGGACCCGTTCAACTGAACTAAAGACTTCAAAAGATGTCTTATCATACTACCCACACTTAAGAAGTATAACCCATCTCCCCAGAGACTAGAAGAATTCATTCTTCCTCGGCAGGTAATAAACAGATAAGAGGAGAACAAGTTTCGGTCAAGCATTTATTTCTCGTAATTTATCAACAAACAAGGACAAATTTTGCATATATTTGTGATCAACAACAAGATTAAACTTAAGACGATTTTTGAATAAATAGGTTGAACACGTTTTGGTATCAACAGGGACCTATAAATTATGTGCACCAATAGATCAACTATATACTAACAGATAACAGAGATAAGGCAGTACGACACACATAACATATGAGGTGAATATCAGGTATACCAAGTATTTATGAAATGATAATAGTAACTGTTCATAGTCAATAGTATTAGTATCCATTGACGCATCCTTTTCTTCTTGCTTTCGACAGACAGGAAGAAACAGCTTGCACAAAGATATATAGGTTTCTTAGTTTTGACATTAATTCTTTCTCAGATCCAGTTGACATTATTCGATGATATATCTGGACATGATGTCTGTGATTTCAACTCTAACACTTGCAACGCTGGAATTCAGGCATCTTCAACGGTGATTAAGAAGTTTTCTATAGAACTAACAGTATTTAATCATGGGATAAGCTATCATATAATGAGCTTCTATAGCAGTTTATCTCTAATGGATTTTTTCTTTTATTTATTTTAGTTGTTGTTTTTATCCGTGAAATAATACTTTTTGTATACATATCGAACTTAGCGCACGATTTTATTTCTCTATTATTCATACATCATTCGATAGAGCTCAACGAGATGATTAAAAGTAACTGGATTTTAACTTCAGAGTAACAGTTTTTGACGGAAAAAGTTTGATAATACTAGAAGGGTCCTAAGTTTGAAAAATCCGTACTGCTAAGAAAAATTTTAAAATATTTTGTTTGTTTTATTTTGAAGTTCTCTCACTTATATTTCCTGATTCTCCATATGAAACTGACTCTAGAAATATTATTTAGAGCTTGATCCAATACCATATGGACAATAAAAAATTCATAATCAAGGACCCCTTAAAGGGTTTATGTATGCACTATACCTCTACAAAACTGGACGTGAGTTTTTATATTAAGCCCGCTTCCCTAACCCCTCACTCCTGCCCCCGTCAGAAATTTATCGGATCGAGTCGGGTTCGGGTTGCGTTTTTTTAACCCGTGCAGATCTCTACACTCGAATCACATGTGTCAGCTTTAATTTAAGATCTTCCCGAGCTCTCCGCGGCGTCTCGTTACCGAAAAATCTTGCAGGTTTCAAATGATGTTCAGGTAAAAGTCACTTTCAAGGTATGGTGGCGCCAGTATTTGATGTATATTTTAAGATTTCCAGCAAAACTCTCACAACTCTTGATTAGAACAGTATTCAGAGCTGGGAGATATCTCATTTTGATCAGAAATGTTTACTCTATTTGCTGGTATTATTGAAAGTATTTTTGGATTTATTTTCTTATCGAAAAGTAAAATTTTAGAATAGGCTATCTGATGATGTCTTTAGCTCAATATCAATGTTTTATAAAACATTATATGTTTCTGACGGGGGCAGAGGCGGAGGGTTAGGGAAGCGGGGCTTAATATAAAAACTCACGTCCAGTTTTGTAGAGGTATAGTGCATACATAAACCCTTTAAGGGGTCCTTGACTATGAATTTTTTAATAAAAAAACCGCGATAATCAAAGGAGAAACTTGTTTTGCGTTTTTCTCGAAACTGTTATTTTTGTTTTACCTGATTGTGTGTCAAAGATTTCTTCGCCATTTTACATGTTAGAAAGCTCGAGAAGATTTTAAAATGAAGGTAAATATCAGCGCTACAACCTAACAAAGTCGGAACTTTTGTTTTCAATTTATTTGTTTACGAAAAACTCGAGTTTTCTAAAAAATTAATCTAGGTTTTTCGGAAAAACTTGTTAAAAAAATTTAATTTTTTTTCTCAGAAATCCGCCTTTGTTAGGTAGTAGGGGCAGGTCTTCTCTACATTTTGACACCATCCCGAGGTCCGTATCATTAAAACTGCAAACAAAATCTTTGACACACGGACACCTACTTTTTGACCCTTGATGTTACAATAACTCGCGGAAAACTCAATATTTTGAGCTCAATTTTTGCTGAGAACTATCAATGGCCAGATACATATTCAATAAAAATTTCAGTAAGATTGAGTGTTCTGGGAAAAAAAAATATTTTGGAGAAGAGAGGGTCCCTTAAAGGATTTATGTCAGTTTCATATGGAGAATCAGGAAAAATAAGTTAGAGAACTTCAAAATAAAACAAACAAAACATTTTAATATTTTTCTTAGCAGTACGGATTTTTCAAACTTAGGACCCTTCTAGTATTATCAAACTTTTTCCGTCAAAAACTGTTACTCTGAAGTTAAAATCCAGTTACTTTTAATCATCTCGTTGAGCTCTATCGAATGATGTATGAATAATAGAGAAATAAAATCGTGCGCTAAGTTCGATATGTATACAAAAAGTATTATTTCACGGATAAAAACAACAACTAAAATAAATAAAAGAAAAAATCCATTAGAGATAAACTGCTATAGAAGCTCATTATATGATAGCTTATCCCATGATTAAATACTGTTAGTTCTATAGAAAACTTCTTAATCACCGTTGAAGATGCCTGAATTCCAGCGTTGCAAGTGTTAGAGTTGAAATCACAGACATCATGTCCAGATATATCATCGAATAATGTCAACTGGATCTGAGAAAGAATTAATGTCAAAACTACGAAACCTATATACCTATTTTTCCTTCGTATGTCCGTATCATATGTAACTACAGGATAGTGGCTTCTGCTGACCCGATGACTCATCATTTTACAGTCTAATTTTGTGGTAACGCCATCTAGAGTAGTACTAATTTGAATTTATTGATTCTCAAACTTTGTTAATTGAACACTTAGCTAAATGTAGAACTTTTATGTTACTTTCATCGCTTAAGAGACGGTGGAGTACTTTTGTGTCAAGAGACCTCACCATAAAGTCTGTAATCTAGATACATTAGCGCGCCCACAAGATTTTTAGTAGCTGTAGGATCAGAACTTCCTCTTGTGGAAACTGCCTTAACACTACTAACCAATGGAGGTAGATCTTCCACTTTATAAAATCATTGACCATTGCCAAATTTTACCCAGTTTTCATTAGTAGATTCCATTGATGACTTATTAGGTTACATCTGTTAAACCATTGATTTACTACATAGTACATATTAACTCAGGCTTTTCCCCCTAAATAGATTTATCCTTTTATAATAAACTACACTATCTTGAAAAGTAGTACCGTATGTTCTGCCATTCTTAAAATGTTTTGTAATCTCACAATTTCGGTGTCTCTCAAAATTTATTTTCTGTTGGTGTGTCACTATCCGATGTTCAAACGATATTGTTTCTCCAGCATAAATGCACTATAGAGACAAGGAATTCTGTATACTGAAAATTCCTGTTCATTAATTTTAGTATGAGTGTTCATAGCCTAACTTGACAACAAAAGAGTACTAGCAGTTTCTTTTCTAAATCAGCTAGTTTTCTACGTACTAGAACGTTCAAAAATGGTATACGACTGTCATCTAACTGGTATTACAGGGTAAACTGTAGATCGTTGTACGTGTTTAAATTCGAAACTAGCTCTTTTGTTACTTACGTTGTTTTAAAAATTCTGAAACAAGCAGAAAATCGTCTACGTATCTTGCTAACCCTAAATATGAATATTTATTAAAACGATATTTCTTATCGAGAAAATCCTGTAGTGTTACATCAGCCTGGAAAGGTAAAACTGAGTACCCCATTGGAAATTCCTGCTTTTTTGACAATTCCATTGAGTGTTTGTTTATGTAAACCATTGCCATATAACATTTTCAATAATAAATTCTACAGCTTCATCATTATCTAACAAATCACTTGCTCAATGCCTCCTATCTGTTCACCGAGATGAATAGATCAGAAATGTTTAAACTCGCCAGAATAGTATTTTTCTTTAGGAGCAGCTTATATAGCTAATTTGATGAGATATAATGTGTTTTTTATTATTCATTTACACAAGCATTCGTATTTAGTTTATCGCTAATTTTCTCTACCCGCACAATAGAAGACCATTCCCTATCAGAAGACCATTGCCGATTATGTAACTTGACAGCCAAATAGAAGATCATGGTCTTCTATTATGTCCGCTCCAAAAAATCGGAAAATGCCCTATAACAGGGAACTTTTAAAAAAATTTCACCAAAAGTTCTTTCTAATAGGGGATGAACTTCCAGTACGTGAGGGTTACCGCTGGACTACTAGTAGGCAACGTATACAACCTTCAACATTCAACACTACAGCTTTATTTCCTTTGCTAGCAGCAATGACGATTATTTATTATTTGCTTTTAGCATTTTCATAGCCTTCAACTGATTCTTCAATGATTTTTTCGGTTTACTTCCAAATATGTTTCAAGATTTAGTTCAAGAACTCTCGTAATCTCACTAATCACATCTGCTTTTTCGACAACGATGTTTTATAAGTATCATCTCTAGTTATCACTTTTCCTACATAATAAGTAGTATTGAGTCTGGCTCGGTATAAAACCTAAACCTTTGTTACAGTTAAATGTCAGAATGTTTAGATGTGGAAAATGAAAATATTATGAATAAAAAGTGTATGAAATATCATGAATCTGCTAACAGTTTGTGCCTTATTCATACTCACCCTCAATAACCATGCAGTTTTAAAATATGAAATATACACAGAAATGTGCTTCAAATTCTGCATAAAACAAATATATTTACGTGTTGAGTTACGTTTTGAAAACAGAAGATGTTCGAAAATGATAGAAAATGGAAAAAACTTCGGTTAGGTCTTCGTTATACATTGATGAAAACGATTGTTTTGTTTGTCGAACATTATTCAGAGAACACTCAAGGTAATTGCCTTAAAACGGCGATATTTGTTTGTTGAGGAGCATGTATCGTACATTCTCTTTTTTTTGTTATCAACAATTTCTGAAAGTCTGGAGTTGTACTGAGAGCGCTGGCTTCAACTGGAAGTAAACAGTATGGAATTTCTCTTGTTTTTAGTTGCCGTCATAACACCATTAATACTTGATTTAAATAACACACGCTTGGGCGTCCACAGCACTGGCACTAGATTTATGGTATTTATGTTTGAAGCTGTTAATGCCCGATTTGGTGGTTATCAAACAATTGACATTCAACAACTGACATCAGCAACTTTGGTGATCTATTGTCTATTAATGAGCGTTAAACCGCAAATGGTGAGTCAAATTTCACAGATAAATTTCATAACTGAATTCTTTATTGATTCATTTAGTTATGTGCGATTAATGAAACACCCTTCGAGTTGGAGTGGATATTATTACAAACACAACAAAAGCTTCAAGATAAAGTTATCAGTCACAGTAATGAACAACGACCACATCTAGAAATATTTTTGCCAGTTGACCGTATGCGACATTATTTAATGAGACAAGGCTCGTTGACAAGAGCACGAGCTAAAAATTATTTTGCAATATCATTGAAAAAAGCATTCATTAAAAAACAAATACACGAAGCACCTATGGACGATTTGAGTGTGACTAAACGTCGACACCATCGTCGATTTAGTTTGATAAGCGACGGTATTGTTGAGTATAATCAATTGTCAGAAACTAGTGACAGAATTTCATTATTAAGAATGAAATTATTATGTATTCTGTTCGCTAAGAACATGGTGATAGGTTTATTTAGTCTGATAACATCAACACGAGCATGGTTATTTATATTTGTTTATTTTATTTGTGCTTTCGAAAGTTACCACATGTATCCGCTCGATATTAACATAACTGTTTTCCGAATCATATTTGAAGTAACAAGCGCCTTTGGCGGTTGCGGACTGTCGATGGCTTATCCAGGTATATCCACTAGCTTTGCTACGGTATTATCAACAGGAAGCAGAATTATATTAATAGCAACAATGTGTATGGGTCGACATAGAGGTCTTCTAGATTCAATGAAAGATCAAGAAGAAATTGAATACAGTGCATCGGTATTATTAGAAAGCTGGAAACAAATAGCTATTTTAGAAGAACAAGAAAAGGACATACGCAAAGAACAACGACGAGAAGAACTATTAAATATATCGGTCACTTTACCCATTAGCCCGTTAATGACACGTTTTTAATTTATAAAATATAGTTAGATGAATGCCGTACTGATAGCCAGCTTTGTTTTATAGCTTTATTCTGTCAGAATACAAGCGGAAGAATATTCCATTATAGCATTCTAAACTAAAACTGTCGAAAAACATAAAATCAATTTTTGTACGAATAAAGATTCAAACATGTGAACTTAGCTTTGTAGTAAACTACAAAACTCAATTCACCGTTCTGTATCTATATTCTGTACAACGATTGAAGTTGTGTAATCGACTCTTTGTTATCGGTAGTAATTTTTTTGGTATGTTTTTTGTGTTCTGTTTGTTTTATAGCTTTATTCTGTCAGAATACAAGCGGAAGAATATTCTATCCGCTGAAAAATTTGTTTGTGTTAGTTGGTTCATTGGATTGCAATCATTAATCGAAAAATAGTTTAACATTGAGGATACTCAGAAGTCTAAACAGAGTCCTATTTCCAAACTATCAAGTCCTTATTTGCTAAAATCCTGGTTCTTCACTTTCAACTGGCATGCTTAAATATTACCTTGGACGAGTTTTAAGCTTGGATCTTTAGACATTCGAGTTTTCTAGAAACAATTTGACGTTTTATCATTTCATTAGAAGAAAGATGGAACCAAAAATCGAGTGTTCTGCTAAGTTTTTTGTCTGACAATCGTTATTTTTCGTTCAAGTTGGACAAGGAAATCGAATTGATCAGTTCAAACAACCAAACTATGTGATTCTCGATAAAGAAACAGATAGTCTCATCATCTGCGATGTTCTCTCCGTAATGGAACCAGCAGAAAGTCGATCATCAAAAATCTCAATTGTTATGGGTTGGCGACGGACGATCAGAGATCTCTCTGAGTCTCTAACGATGATTTACCTAATACCTCTTTAGGCTCTCAGTGTCTACCCTAATGAAACTTCTTGTAAGCAAGATCTTGACTTCTTGGACATTTTTTCAGGATCTGTCACTTTCTTGTACCCAGTGTTACAAGAAGGTTCACTGGAAGGGGTGGGTGAACCGGCGTCCAATGAGCGTTACTTATTTATTAATGTCCTGTTGTTTCAAAAGCTATAAACAAAGTTCAGACCCCATTCCGAGAGTTGTCCATTTCAGCCGGTCAAACTAATGATCGAACCAATGGCACCATAGAATTGACGTTGTGCACCGAACCATGCATATCGTTCGACCTAATCCAATGAATCGAGTTTATTGATAGTTTGTCTCATAAATTCGTTGACTTCATATTGAGATACGGGTTGATTCGGATTCCAAGATGTACAGGCAAATTCTGTTACCCAAACGATTACGAACATTGGCAATTCAATTGATTAAATTGTCTAGACCTCGACCGTACAAGTGTAAAGCAAGAAAATCGATTTTCAAATTTCAATTCTAGTTCGCTGAATATAAATAAATCACTTCTGAAAACAAAATTTCTTTAGCGTTATCGAATATAGTGCACGAAAAATGCAGTCAAAAGCGACTTCTTTCCGAACGGAAAGAATCTTTCTTCACGATGAAAGATGAAGTTCGTGTGAGGAAACACCGATATCTTCAGGGAGAACAATAACTTCTCGTGTAAGTTCTTTTCGAGAAACACGGATTTCTTCATGAAGAAACATGAAGTTCTCGTGGAGAAACAGCGATTTCTCCAAAAGTTATTGTGGTGAAGCGCCGATTTCACCCGGAACAACATGAAGTTCTAGTGGAGAAACACCGATTTCTTCAGGAAAGAACATGAAGTTCTTCTGTTCCGACAATTTCCGTAGCTGTCCTTTTCGACCTGCTGGAAATACCATTGTGCAGTCAATGGACCGATGAATGCCTCGATTCAGTCTTACATTAAGAATTTTTTGAGAGTTAAAGTCATCCTTCTATGCGACATGAATGCGATATCGAGTTTTTCGGGGAAATTAGCCGTTTTCATTTAACTCACTGGTCAAAACGTGGAGGGGTGTAGTAGACTAACAACTCGTATTTTCAGATACAAGGGGTTGTTGTAACGTACAATGAACCGATCAGTTCCATTTCGAAATATCATGCTTCTGGCGAAAAATACGACGACCCTAAACCTATAAACCTTTACACTTCGACATGGATAACTACAACAGTTGAACAGACGCATAAAAGTCTTGAAAAGGAAAACGGTAGTTTTATGTGGTTTCAAATTGTAATTGAGGTTTTATTACGTTCACCTGAGCAGTATGAAATACAAATCAGCGAGCTTGTGGCTGTCGCGAAACAACAATATAAAAGTAACTCGTCACAACTCTCACTTATTGGTAGTTATCAACACAATTATCTATCAAAACCATCAATAGCTACTGTATTGCATAGATTACAATCAGCTATTACGCGGTACACGCGCGAGTCAATGTCACTTCCAGTTTTTTCATCCACGATCTATATAACGAACTAAAAAAAGAACAAACGGAACAAATTCAAAGCTAAAGACAACCACACATCATGACGCCACAACATTGAATACTGATTCACCAAACGATGAAGAATCCAGCGCTATCTCGACCGACGACACTTCCAGTATTGATTCAGTGAAACCCGATGAAGCAAAAACTGACGTCGAGGCAATGCTAGATAAACTGTAGCAGATGCGGCTAAACCCACCGTCAGTTCCACTACCATCATGTATACCGGGGAAGAGGTATATCCACCCAGGAATTGGTCAAAATGAAAGAAGGTATTGGCAAAATAATATCTGTAAACAGTTTCTTCTCGATCACACACAACTTCACAATAGCCAGAGGTTTTACCTACTTAGTATAAAAGACACCAGAGAAACAATTACTTTTATTCGACATCGAAGCCGACCTATGTTTAGAAGGGGCTAAACCGTTTGCCGATATTAGCCATAAAAGTGGGAACAAAGATGAAGAAGAAGTCTTGTTTATGTTGGGATCATTGTTTCGAATCGTTGATGTAAACAAGGAAGCTGATCTGGGCGATATATGAAGAGTTAAACTAAAGCTATGCTCCGACGAGGATGATCAATTGAAAGATGTGTTAGATAGATTTAAACGACAATTGTCGAGAAAAACTAATCTCACTGGTCTTGGCAACGTACCGTTTTACATGGGACAATATGATCATGCAGAAAAATGTTGCACACGGCATGTTGTGGCTGCTGCCAATTTAAAAAATGATAATACAAGTGCGTCGTGTAATAAACTGGGTGAAATAGCACGAATACAAGAATAATATGACTCGGCTTTAATGTTCTTAAAACGAGCTGTCGATCATGCGAAGGATACATTCGATTACGTTACTGCCCATTCAACACTCGGCCAATTATATTTTGACATGGGAGATTACGATCAAGCGTTGTATCTTCATTCATTAGCCGTTTATTTAACACAAAATAACCGCGCGTGACATCATGCGTTTCTCTCCGCCGCCGCTCTTACAGAAAAAGTCTATCATTCGAACATTATATAACTATGTATCAAATTATGAACTATTGCTACCATTTGGATATCAATTTGAAAAATAAAATTCACAATTATTTATCGAAACTCTCTGCAAACTATGTCCAATTCGATTTTACATTATTGACAATGATTTTACATTCAAAAATAATTGGGCGAAAGATATGATGGATTATGATTTGAAAAATCATAAAACAAACGATTTAGATATACCCAATGTTTGGCGATGTTTACAAAGTGAATCATTTAAGACTGATACTGAAAATATTCGAGCTATAAAAGGTTTAGAATATCAGTTAAAACAAATACCAGTATTGTTCTTAGCAGAAATGGAAAACAATGATTTGTCCGGTGATTTTTCGAAACTTATCAAATGTGTAGATTCGACGTTAAACAAACGTTCTGATGATGTGACACAGTTCTTATCGAACTGGTTCAATACAGCAGTTGACCTTAAACAAATATTGATTAAGGTAACTTTTTATGGTACGCAAAACCCTTTTCTAGCTGTCTGGTGTTTTCCAGAACGAAATTGTATCTGATCCTGAAAATTTCACACTTCCTACAGTTAGTCTTATTGCATCAAACATTGTCGATTATTCAGTAGTATGTACTGCAATGGATATTCGACCCTACATTCGACATAGTTTACGACCATTAATATATCTCAATTATTTCCAATGTACAGAGAACGAGAAAACATAAAGTTTTGAGTTGATAAAAAATATTTGTGGTTCGAAATATGAACTGATCACTTGTTCACGACATTACAATTGGAAAACAAACCCTAATATTCTTGATCTGATTAAAAAAGATTGTATATACTTTATCAACATATGTAGTACGAATTTGGATGAAGCAAATGAAAATCAAGTAGCTGAGTATTCTTTAGCTAAAAAGATCTATTTATCTATGCCAAACAGTCAAATGACAACAATTGCTCCTACTAATCAATTACGTCTTCATGATCATCATACACATGATTATCGTTATGTCGCCTCGAATGTGTACATTGCCTATGTTCATTGTACTGAAGAAGAAATTCAAAAATCTGAAGAACAATTAATTAAACTCAAAGATGAATTAGGATCAAAGTATCGTTTTGCCACATATGAAAACTATAAATTTCTTGATAATTTTTCTTTAATTATCGATACAATAAAGAAAAATTCAATTTATTCTATTGTTTATTGTTGTTGTTATTATATTGATCATTCTATAAAAGATATTTTATCAACATAAAAAAAAGAGAGAATACTTTCAGTAGTGAGTTGTGTGGCCTATTGGTTACAGACGTTTACTTCTAAAACGAGCGGTTACAGGTTCAATGCCTGTTCACATCGTTATTTTTTTAATTCTTTTTTGATCTAAGGCGTTTTTATTTTAATTATTTTAATTCATTATTATTTTTAGAACTCTTCAGTTCTAACTTAGAACCGAAGAAAAAATAGACCAGATCTTTAAATGTCTCCTTCAGGTTGAAAAATCGGACACACACTGAGATCAAGAAAAAGCGTCTACCTGAATACTAAGCTTCCACAAAGAAGCGTTTAACAATACGATTTTGAGTATATGCAGCTGAAAATCCGCTCAATTTTTTGAATTTTTCGCACTTGAAAAGCTAGCTGTCCAAAAAAATTAAAAACCACATATTTGTGATCATCTCATCAAACTCTGACTAACGATACATAAATAAAAATGAAATAAAATTCACTCGATCTTTGCATTGTTGGCATCGTATCTCAAGATGATCTTTGATAATACTCAAAATCAGTGGATATCATTAAAAACATACCTCTGGTGGACCAGAGGCGAATTTTTCAAAAAAGCGACTGACGAGGGAACGTTCAACTGATCAATCGCTTTTTTCACCAAAAAATTTCAGTGGTTCCTGGTTTCTGGAAAACAAGTTTTCTAGGAGCGCTGAAAAATCCCCAAAACTTTCCCTTAATAAGTCACGACTGTAGTTTACGAAATGCTGACCAAAATAAGACATCTCCCACTTCTACGCGACCTTTCTTTGCAAAGTTAAAGACTTTACAAGAAAAGCCCTAAATTAATTTCTTATTTTTTGTAGCTTTTGAGCTGACAATGAACATTCACGGCTTTTCTTTTAAGTTCTATAACTTTGCAGAGAAAGGTCGCGTAGAGGTGGAAGATGTCTTATTTTGGTCAGCATTTCGTAAACTACAGTCGTGACTTATTAAGAGAAAGTTCTGGGGATTTTTCGAGGTTTGGGAAGACCAGTTTTCCAGAAAAACACTCTAGGAAGGCTTAGCGACCCGTCTCATATGGATATTCGGACCCGGCATGGTCGATAATCTATGACTTACTAGGTTTGGTGAAAAAAGCGATTAATCAGTCGAATATGTTTTCCCATGAGGGGGAGGTGTGTTTTCGATGAAACCTACTTTTCGCTGAAAAATATGCTATTCGACGCAGCTTTTTGTACTAATTCCAAAAATATGACATCTATTTGGCTCGCTGATAAAACTATGACGGTCAAAGTTGGTGAATACGAGCGAATTTTTGCAGGATTCTGCCACTGAAACAGTAAAGTTCCGTTTTCCAACAATAAAACAAAATTTTAAAAAACTAAAAGAGTACTGTTAAAGCTCGTGTTACAACGTTTCGAAGGAGACAAGATACTTGGGTGTACCCCTTCATACAAAAAACTGGTTTATAAAGTTACTAGCATACCTCAGTAGGAGACTTCCACACAGCCATAGTGGAAAAGAATGGAATTTAAATTATTTTTAAAAGATTATCTAGGAACATCTGAAAATTTACCTTACTTTTTAGCGTTTTTTACCAAGTTTTAGTTAAATTTAAGTTTCTAATCAACCGAGTAAACATTACCAGTAATAATACAAACAGAGCGGCTGAATCGAAAAAAGTTTTTCAAGTGTTTTAGAGGAGCTTTCTAAAGGTTTAATGGTGTTTGCGCTAGAGAAATCGGCGTTTTATACTTTGTTTAGCGAATCGTGATACATTTGTAATTCATAAGAAAATATTTATTTATTACGCTTTTATTTTTGTGAATCATAAAAGAAACGTAAATATCTTTTACCCTCTTTCGAATGGCATGTTTGCAAATGGTAGTTGGTATGAAACAAATCGAGTTATTTCAATTTTAAAGAAAACTTAAATTTTACAGCTTTAAATATGAAGGAGAAAACAAAATTTTTCTATATTATCTTTTCAAATGTAGCCCGAAAAATTCTGGACAAGATCAAATTTTCATTCTAAAACTGTCCTAAAAAAAAGCCCTGCCTAAACAATCAGGGTTTCCGGAAGTCCTACTTAATGAATTCTTAAAACTTTTTTGAGAGTGCTATGAGAAAGAGTATGATTTAAAACCCTGAGGAACCGAGTTTCATGAAATGTGAATCAGCGGTTCAGTCCAACAAAAATGGAGCGTTTTCATGAAATACGCCTGTCGAACTCAGGACCTCTGGTAACAATTCAGAAGCTCTAACCACTGACCCTCCGAGACACAATCTAACATACTCCTCCAGTTCATTTTCAAACAGTCCGAGGTCTGTTATTATACACCTGTTGTTAAACCAGGCATATTTAATCATTGAGTGAAACCGTTTTGATATTTGATGATGCAAAAGAGATTGAAGACGAATAGTATTCTTTCGTTCACCCATATTAATATCTACTTCTAAGCGTAATCTGTCTCATAAATATGTTTTTGGATAAATTTGAGAGCGTACAAAAGCATGGAAACTCCTTACACTCCCAACGTCACAGCGAAGCACTTCTAACTTTGAAAAATAGATCTTTTTGTCCGATCTGCCAAATCGAAATAAAACAAATTTTTTACCTATCGATAGTCGAAAGTGTCTAGATTTATAATATGCATTATTTGCGCTTTAGACTTTCTCTTCATAAATAAGAAAAAACATTTTTTCCTTACCAAGGTCCTTTGAAGCTCTTTTTTGGCTATACATACTGGTAAGTTTAAGAGCGAAATTTCAGAAGTAAATACGAGAATGATTTAGGAATACCTTGCTTTCAGAGTATACTTTTATTTCAAGTAGTTGTGCCTATAAAATCTATTAAATTTAACATATAGGTTCTTGATTTTCAAGCTCTGAACCGTATGTGTCTGCTGAAGAGTATCTGACTCGATTTTTCTAATTCGATATCCAGTCACTGTAAAGTTTTAACATGTTCGGCTGAAACGTTTTCGTACATACGAACTGTGTAAAACTAAGTTTAATAGTGCAGTAATGAATGACAAATTAACAGGTAAATAAATTCATTCAATATTGTGATTTCACCGACTAAGTAAATATGATGTGCAATTCTTTTATTCTTTTCTAGTGTTATTCAGTGAAACAAAATCAGGCATAAAAGGCCAAAGGAGAATAGATGAAGTACAAATAGAAAATGTTTTTGGCAAGAACGCAGTTGACATTACAGGCACAAATATTTGTTTTATTCATCAGTTATAATAGATATTAGCTCTGTTACAGGCAATTTGTGATCTTCAGATTATAAAAGAATGTAAAATATAAAAGAGTCGATGATACTATGTTCGTTTCGTATTAGTTTAATGACGTCCCAGTTACCTGTATGTGGCCTCAGGATTTGTCAAGATTCGGAAGATACTTAATTCCAAGTATTCTGGCATTTTTATCATAAACGACTAAGTTGTTATTTAGATAGAAATGAAATACTTTTGACATTCCATTGATCTCTTTGTGTAAATATCTATTCTTTAAAAAAACATTTTTCTTTCATTTAACACAAAACATAATTCGTGACTCCGGCATAGAAACGGCAGTAAATTTTGCTTGGCTGAAACAGACGCGATCTCGCATATTTTAAAATGATTATTGAAAATAAATTAGTTGAAATTTACCGTTGATCTGTACCATAACATTGTACATTAAAGATTGTGTGAACAAAAGTGCTACATCTTGTATGACATAGCTCTTAAAGCGCTGCAATTTATACTATTTTAAAAGTACAAAGTAAAAATACAAAGATTTTGAGAGTGATAGAAGTTACAGCGGGTAGTCAATGGTTTTGAAAATGCGTTTCAGACACACCGACGCAGATGTATTCTCTCTTTTAGCCCTATTCTGTTCGTTTAGCGAATCTTAGAATAATTCACACCTGATGAGCTGCTACTTTTCATATAACATCAACACCGGGACGGCCATTATAATGAGTATTCGATGTATATTTCTGCATAGCTGGTTGATGGTGCCTGATCACCTCTCTTGGCCCCCACGAACAGTCATGTATCCGACATATCTAGAGATTGAGGCTTCTACACAAATTGACACCATTGTATGAATTGAAAGTGAGATTTTGAATAAGAAAAGCTAATATGCAGTGGAGGGGTGCGCCAGGTAAAAAGAATGAATATTGCAGTTTCAACTATACTGAAAAGTATCATCGTGTTGTTTTGTTCCACCGCTGATCATTTCCTCTACCACACACACAAATAAAATTCCTTCCCTGTGCGTGCGTCACTCATGATGTCAAAGGAAGTAGTGAAAAATAACTGTGTTGGTGTGGATGATGGAAAAAGGAAGTTCATGAGAAACCAATATATAAAAAGAAGCCGAAACATACTATTGCCTCACATTAAACCATCTCACAAACAAATAGTACCAACCAAATGTCGATCCTCTTCTTCCTTTTTCTTGTCATTCTTCAAGTGGGTGCGAACCAGCGCGTGCTGGCCGATAACAAAGTTGTCCGAGGGAAGCGACTCTTTGGTGGCTTTGGTGGTTTCCATCTCCCTGTTATACGACATCCGCCTCCACCACCATGGTATCGATCGCCTCCACCTCCACCACCACCTCAATGATCGCCTGTTCTTCCGTCACCAATGCCCGAATTTCCCGATGAACCATCATACGACGGTGCTGATCCATCTCAGGACACACCACCCGCACCTCCGGTTAATGATCTGACCACTAGTACAACGATCAGAATGGAAGGAAACGATAATACAACAACCACAGCGATCGATCCAATGACACCATCCACGGAGATCGATCCAAGCACAACAACCACAGCGATCAATCCAATCACAACAACCAGAGCGATCAATCCAATAACGGCATCCACGGAGATTGATCTAATGACGGCATCCACGGAGATCGATCCAATGACGACAACCAGAAGATCGATCCAATGACGGCATCCACGGAGATCGATCCAATGACGACAACCACGGAGATTGATCTAATGACGACAACCACGGCGGTCGATTCATTAACGACAGCCACTGACGCAACCACAACTAATACGATAACGACGACGGACACGACCATCAGCGAGTTAACAGCAAGTGCTGCGACACCTATCGTTGCTCAACGACGTCGCCGTCGTCGATCGATGCTCAGTGAATAGTAAATGGCGCTTGGCACATGCCGAGAAAAGAAATTACACTCTTTTCCAATATCCACCAAATTTCATTCACTATCTTTCTCTCATTTTACTGTCGATTGGCTGTCTGTTAATCAATAAATGTATACAGGACTATCTAAGTCTTGCAGTTCTCTTTTATCTTTCTGCCGCTGGAAGAATGAGAGAAGAAACGTCTACTATTCCTTCTCAGTAACAGATGTAGATTAAGTTAGTTGTTCACAGGCACACAACCACGACACTACGTGATTCACTAATGTGCTTTAAAAAGAACAGTTGTATGCAGAGATTATTTCGCGAGGTCCTTCGTGTTTTTATTAAGAATACTCATCAGGATTCTGCATAAGCACACACAAAAGCAGAGGGTATGGGTATGAGTATCTATTTATCTTGCGAGTGACAGGCGAGGTTCTTTCTCCATCATCACCGAAAGAAGAGATACTCGTATTATTTCTGTTGTCCGCAGATATATACACCCATATTGTAGCCCGTGAAATTCTTTCTCAGATGTGGTATTGCTTGAATTTGCGTTCCTATTTTACAAATAAGACTTTATGCTAATAGAGTAGGCTAAATTAACGTTAATTAGTACTAATTAGTCAATACCAGAAAGGAAAGAACAAAAATTCTTGCATATTTTCTCGTAATAAATATTCTCCACAATTGAACGCGGGATTATTATTGAAAACATTCCGGTCCATCCTCCATTAATTACAAAAACTTAGTTCTTGTCTAGATCGGTAGAAAAAAGTGTGGAGAATATTTATTACGAGAAAATATGCAAGAATTTTTGTTCCTTCCTTCCTGGTATTGACTAATTAGTACTAACTAACGTTAATTTAGCCTACTCTACTAGCATAAAGTCTTATTCGTAAATTGCCGTTTTCTTGCATGCTGAGCGTTGTAGTGGTGGTCAGATCATTAACCGGAGGTGCGGGTGGTGTGTCCTGAGATGGATCAGCACCGTCGTATGATGGTTCATCGGGAAATTCGGGCATATCAGGCTCATCGGGCGATTCCGCGTCAGAAATCAGTTGCCGTGGTGGTGGAGGCGGATGTCTCTAAGTCTTACGGTTTAAGAGTTTTCCAGAGATCAAGGCCCAAAAAGGACCCTGAACGGCGTTCCATGATTTTTTAATATACTTCAAGCTGGAGAGTTCGGGTTTGTTTTATTTTAAACTAGACACCTAACTACATCGACTGACCGGCGCCGATTTTTCA